TCTGCAGAGCAGGCAGCCATGCAGTTCACAGCAGTTAGTTACTGCATCTGCAGAGCAGGCAGCCATGCAGTTCACAGCAGTTGCTCAGCAAGTATTTCTCCAAGGAGTACGTGAATATGTGCACAGCTCAGACAGCCTGGGGAGCTTGACTATTTTGACTTGAACTGTTTTCATTGCTAAAGACCTTGTAATCAGATGCCAAGGATGTCAAGCAAGCAAACCAGAATTTTGGGAGGCTGCCTGGAAGGTCACACCCCACCTTGGGTCACTCTGCTGCCAGGGAGGGATGGGGCAGGGCAGACTTGATGCCATTTATTCCCAAGTGCCACTTATAGTTATCAGAAGGTAACGTCATCACAACACAAAGGACATGAGAAGCTCTCTCTCTCTCTCTCTCTCTCTCTCTCTCTCCCTCCCTCCCTCCCCAACACACACACACACACACACACACACACACAATCTTTCTATGGTGATTCATTATTGGAGCCAATAATGAATTCCATTGCAAGCTGACAACACAAGGAGACTCTGAGCACAGGAGTGGGTATATAAGAACTCCCAATCTTTTTACCACTCTTTTGAAAATCTGAAAATAAACTAAAACCAAACTGAAATCTGGGGTTGGGAAGATGGCTCAACTGGCAAAGTGATTGCCCCACTAATATGAGGACCCGTGTTTATATCCCCAGCAGCAATGAGAGGAGCCAGGCATGGTGGTGCGTGCCTGTAGCGGCCGTGCTGGGGAGGCAGACAGGAGGACCCTGCACTCCTTGGCCAGCTAGTCTTGCTGACCTGATGAGCTCCAGCATCAGTGAGAGAACATGTCTTAAAAAAATAGGACGTGGAATGAGAGAAGAACATCTCTGACTAGACTCTGCTTTCCACACACAGACACAATTTAAATGAAAATCTAAAGTCTAGTTTGAAAAAAAGAGGAAACCCGCCGAGCAGTGGTGGCACACGCCTTTAATCCCAGCACTGGGGGGGGGCAGAGGCAGGCAGATCTCTGGACAGATCTCTGTGAGTTCGAGGCCAGCCTGGTTTAGAAGAGCTAGTTCCAGGACAGGAGCCAAAAAGCTACAGAGAAACCCTGTCTCAAAAAAAAAAAGAAAAGAAAGAAAAAAGAGAAAGAGGAAACCCATGCTGCCTACGCTTCCACTTGACTAGTTAAAGCCCTGAGGTTGCTATGCTAAGAGCATGCAATTGAGGAGAGGTTTTAAATAATGGCACCCTCACTCAGGTGGTCTCATGAAGTCCAGGCTGTCCAGAATTCACTGTGTGGACACAGGTGACCTTGAACTCTGGTCCTCCTGCCCTTCAAGTGCCAGGACTGCAAGTTTGTGTCACTACACTCCTCTGGTATCCCATTGATTCTAAGGACAATCTCTGAGGTGAACCTATGGGACTGTCCTTATTTGGGTGACAAGTTGAGGACCTCTAATGAAATATCCTGGCCACACAGCAAGCAAGAGACAAACCAAGCACTAGGCTCATGGCTTTTGCCTTCTGGTTTTCGCCCAGGAATGCTGGCCTAGGCCAGATATTTTTTCATCTGACTTTTTGGAGTAAGAAAAATGACTCCTTCAACTATCGTGCCTTTGTGTACCGCTTGTTTCTTCCTTCGACCGGAGGCTTTCTTTACTTCTCGTGGACACATTGAAAGCGTCTTCCCTGCAGCCCCCATTCCAACCTATTCAGCACAGTTCAGAAGGGTGAGCGCTTTTTTTTTATTGATTTTATTGAGCTCTACGTTTTGTTTGTTCCTCTCCCTTCCTCTCCCCTCCCCCTCCCAAGGTCCCCATGCTCCCAATTTACTCAGGAGATCTTGTCTTTTTCTACTTCCCATGTACATTAGATCCATGGATGTCTCTCATAGGGTCCTTTTTGTTGTCTAGGTCCTCTGGGATTGTGAATTATTGGTTGTTTTTTCTTTGCTTTATGTCTAAAAGCCACTTATGAGTGGGTACATATGATATTTGTCTTTCTGGGTCTGGGTTATCTCACTCAATATGATGTTTTCTAGATCCATCCATTTGCCTGCAAATTTCAAGATGTCATTATTTTTTCTGCTGTGTAATACTCCATTGTGTAAATGTACCACATTTTTCTTATCCATTTCTTTATCAAGGGCATTTGGGTTGTTTCGAGGTTCTGGCTATGGCAAACAAAGCTGCTATGGACATAGTTGAGCACATGTCCTGTGGCACGATTGAGCATCCTTTGGATATGTACCCAAAAGTGGTATTGCTGTGTCTTGAGGAAGGTTGTTTCCTAATTTTCTAAGAAATTGCCACACTGTATCAGCTTGTGCTCCCACCAGCAATCCAGAAGTGTTCCCTTTACTCCTTAACCCCTCCAGCATAAGTTGCTATCAGTGTTTTTGATCTTGGCCATTCTTACAGGTGTAAGATGGAATCTCAGAGTTGTTTTGATTTGCGTTTTTCTGATGACTAAGGGTGTTGAGCATTTACTTAAGTGTCTTTCAGCCATTTTTGATTCCTCTGTTGAGAATTCTGTTTAGGTCTGTACTCCATTTTTTTTTTATTGGATTATTTGTTCGATGACCAATTTCTTGAGTTCTTTGCATATTTAAAGATCAGACCTCTGTCTGATGTGGGGTTAGTGAAGATAACTTTCCCCATTGTGTAGGCTGCTGTTTTGTCTTGTTGACTGTGTCCTTTGTTTTACAGAAGCTTCTCAGTTTCAGGAAGTCCCATTTATTAATTCTCTTAGTGTCTGTGCTACTGAGGTTACATTTAGGAAGTAGTCTCCTGTGACAATGTGTTCAAGTGTACTTCCCACTTTCTCTTCTACGAGGTTCAGTGTGGTTGTCTTTATGTTGAGGGCTTTGAACCCTTTGGACTTGAGTTTTGTGCGTGGTGATAGATATGATCTATTTTCATTCTTCTACATGTTGATATCCAGTTATGCCAGTACCATTTGTTAAATATGCTTTCTTTTTTCCATTTTATTTATTTTGCTTCTTTGTCAAAAATCACGGTGTGTGGATTGATATCCAAGTCTTCTATTCAGTTCCATTTGGTCCTCCTGTCTGTTCTTATCCATACCAGGCTGTTTTCAGCACTGTAGCTCTGTAGTAGAGTTTGAAGTCAGGGATTGTGATGCCTCCAGAAGTTCTTTTATTGTACAGGATTGCTTTGGCTATCCTGGGTGTTTTGTTTTTCCATATGAAGTTGAGTACCGTTCTATCGAGGTCTGTGAAGAATTTTGCTGGGATCTTGCTGGGAGTGTTTAAGGTAGAACTGTCTGTTTACTTCCCTCCAAACACTATCTACTGCCTACTGAAAAAAGTTCAGACTCTGTGCTTGTCTTTTCACCTTTGACCCCATACGAGTATCACATTCTCTTCTTCCCAGTTCCCAGTAGCTTCTCTTGTCTCTGTTTTAAGTTCATCAGTCTTTGATTGATGTCCTAACCAATGCACAAAACCTGCCAGCAAGGAAGGTCGTTTATAAAATTACCAAGACTCAACCTAGAAACTCCGAAGTTTCATGTGTGATTACAGAGCAGGTATCCAAGTAACCACTATCACCTGCCCAGGGCGAACTGGCTGCCAGAGAGTTGGGAGGGAAGCACCAGGAGTATTTCCAACTAGGGGGCGGGCCATGAGATGGTCCCAAAAAGGGGTCATTTCCCCTCTTGGATGCGTTGACCCTGACAGGGAGAAGAACATTTATGACTTATTGGTTCCTTGAAAACACTCATTCCCGCTCTGCCTGCCCCAGACTCACCCTCCTATGCCCCGCTAGCCTAGCCCATCACTGTCCCATACCACACCCTTGGGAGGAATGGACAGAGGAGTGGGAACTGGGCCACTTAAAAACATTCTAGGCGACAGTCATTTGGTTTTTGACTGTTTGGATGAAATTAATTAAAGCATGAGTATGTCACTTTTATTTCCCCACACTGGACAACTGGCTCGGAGAGCATCTTCCTGCAAGCAGTTAGATGGCGGTGGGGTAAATTGGGGCTCTGTTACTGGTTGTGCAGGTGGGGAGCTGTCAGATCTGCCAAAGAGAAGCACAGAAATTCAGACTTACTTGGGGCAGTTGTCAAGAGAGTTGGGAAAGCTAAAATTGAAGCACCAGGCTTCTGTCTTGGGACGAGCACCAACAGCAATGGCCTGGGGAATGTGGAAGTCAGCAGCAGCTGAGGTCGAGGTAAAGAGTGAAGTCTCTGAAGGCTTTAGGACTAGTCTGGTGGGGAGGTGCGTGTGTGTGGGCCTTAGATTTACCCCTGAGATCCTGCTGATGTACACACCCAGAGAAGCTGTCCAGGCCTGCCCCTTCACCTTTCAAGGCAGCGAATGGTTGGAGCATTTCCTGACTGTCTCATTATCTCCTTTCAGAAGCAGCTCTCTGTAGGTACTCAACACCACACACCCACCTTTTGTGACCACTCCTTTGTGGCCTTGGCCACTGCTTTGCACCACCATGACTGAGCAGAGAGGGCTGGGCCTGAGACCAGTCACACACTGCAGGCCCCATTCTCTCTCTCTCCCCCTCACTGAACTCTGGAAAGGTCCAGGACCGTCTCTGCAGCATACTTTCGCTCAACATCGCCTGATTATTAAAGGCTGTTCCTTGAAGCTCTTACAGAAGCGGGATTGCACCTTGGAGTGTGGTGCTGTGGTACAGCGCTGGTCTGGGCAGTGAGCTAGGCTTGGGTTCATCTTCAGCATCACACGCCCACACAAGGGTGGGCAAGGCGTAGAAAGGGGTTAGCTCGTGCTCAGGGGAAGGGGCTGCCAACAGAAAGGACTGAAAAAAAAAGACAGAAAAGAAAAAAAAAACACATTTTAAAAATTTTTATGTGTTAAAGAGTTGGGAGCAGAGGGATGGGAGGGGCGTGTCTGTCCTGAGGGCAACAGGGTGGGGCGATCCTTCGCCAGTCCGAACTCCAGGGTCCTGGTGTGGCCGCGCCCACCCCTCCCGCGTAAGCGCGCTTCCGGAAACTGCTTGCCTGGGAACCCGGTTTCCTCGCGCAGGTTCCGGAAGAGCTCGGCTCCCAGAGCCGGGCGTGCAGTACAGCTGCGAGCTGCTGTGGCCACTGGGGCCAAGTGCTTTGTTCCCAGCTCCTTGTTGCCCTTGCGCGCGCAGAGAGGCCGAAGTCCTGGTGTCGCGCGCGCCTAGTGCGGCGAGGGCTGAGCACCGAGTGCGATCACTGCAACCACGGCTCAGGAGCTCGTGCGCCCTGCGCAGCTTAGGGGCGGTCCCACGCAGCTGCTGCTCCCGTGCGGTCCCTACGAGGCGGTAGCCCCGAGGTTGCCTAGGCGGTGCGATGCTGGGCCCGCCCGGGAGCCCGGGAAGGGAAAGCGGAAGCCGCGAGCCGGGCTGGTGACCGCGAGGACTCTGCGCCTCTCCACGGCTGCCGGCAGCACCCGCGCCTGTTCTCGGCTGTCAGTCCTGCGGCACCCGGCGCGCCGTAACCATGGCCATCGCTCACCTGGCCACGGAGTACGTGTTCTCGGACTTCTTGTTGAAGGAGCCCACCGAGCCCAAATTCAAGGGGCTGCGGCTGGAGCTAGCGGTGGATAAGATGGTCACATGCATCGCCGTGGGTCTGCCTCTGCTGCTCATCTCGCTGGCCTTCGCTCAGGAGATCTCCATCGGTGAGGCCGGGGCGCAGGGGCGGCCTGGGCTAGGCTGGCATTGTCTGGGGTTGGCAGGGCCCGCTAAGGGGAGATCTCATTGCACACAGCCGGCATTTCCTCACGCCCCTCACGCCCCTCACGCCCCTCCTAATGTAGCCATCCTGCTCATACCGGATTTGAGACTAAAGACTTATTTTGCCTATGTGCAATCTGGGTACCTCTGTTGACCCTGCTAGCATCCTCTCTGCAGTTCCTTTGTCTCCTGCCCCATGGTTGTGGCTTGGAGTTCACATCCAGCCTGTTGCAGCTAGACGTTCCAAGAGTGTCTTTTCCTACTCCTCTCCCCAGAAATTGTGCAGTCACCTAAAATTTCACACCAAGGAAGTTCCCGAGTGGCTCCGGGAAGGATGTAAAGACAAGCGGTCCGTGTACAGTGTTTCACTGTGCTTTTCAGTGATCCTTGGGGCCTGTCTTAGGGTGGTGTGTGATGGGGAGTAATACCGTTGGAGGTGGAAGAGGTCCTTCACCTAGGCCTTGCTGTGAATGAAAGTTGAAGAAATGACTTAATCTTCTTCATATAAACTATCATTTCATCTTAATAGTTATGCAAAATCCAAAGTCTAGTGTTTGGGGCGGGATCATGAGCCAGAGTGAGTGGTCTTACTTACCAGCTACCCTGACATTCAGTGTGTGAATTGCAGGTAAGTAGTGTGTGTGCGGAGACTGGGGGCAACGGCACTTGCAGGTGGGGCATGACCTTGCAGAGTGTCTGTGCCAGGGTGGGTTGAGTGTGGAGTGACCCAAATGAGATGCTTGTCAGGGGGCTGTGACAGCCAAGGGGGGGGGGGGCTTGCTGGGGGAGGGGAGGCTCTAGGAGCTTAGGGTAATGTGGGCATTGGTCAGGTTACTACAGAGAGGCACCTGCTCACTCACCTGGGATTGGGAGGCCATTGATTGGCAAACTGGTCGAAAACAGCACTCAGTAAGTGATAGTGAGAGTACATTGGTTCTGGATGTAGGAAGGGAGTGAGGATCTGGACATGTGACTGCCCTGAGCTATGGCATCAGTTGAGTCTTGTGCATGGATGGGGGCTGCGTGGAGGAAGGAAAGGGGAGCCCTTCTGAGAGATGAGGGAGCAATAGGAAACAGCTGGGTTCCTAGATCTTAATGGGCTGTGGAGAGAAGAGAGCGAGGCCGTCTGTACACCTGAGTGAGCTGAGGTGCCGGTGGAAGCTGGAGTCGAGGCAGGGCTTGGGCGGAAAAGGAAGGGTATGGCTGGTGCAGCTCCTTGACACTGTGGTGGAAAGTCGCTGAAGCAAGGGTGCAGAGTGAGCTGTGGGTTTTCCTGGTTCTCGGGCAGGGATGATCCTGCCGAAAGGGAAACCACAGAGTCGCTTGGAGGCTGATGATAGTCTCTGTGGCTTCCAGCTATGGACTGAACCAAGTGCCAGGCACCAGAATCCCGGGAATAAATGTCCCTGTGATAAAGATGCAAGTCCTGGACACCTGGTGTGGGCAGAGGCCAACAGGGAGGAGCTGGTCACTCTCTGTGAAGTCCCCCTTCTAGAAGGACTCTTGAGGCACCTGGAGCTGGGGTCTGTTATACAGGTCCAGATGGATGTACTGTGTGAGAGGCATCTTGGGGGACATAGGAGTGGGTCCAGCCAGCAAGACTCTGCTGAGGCTGTGTATGTGCTCCGCTGTGCCCTGTGGGGGATTGGAAAGGATTCAAGGCATGACCCTCTCTACCAGCAGTAGTTTACCATCCCACTGGACACCAATCTGCTACCAGGTGACATTCCTCCACCCGTGTGATTTCAGGATAAGGCAGAGGGAACTCCTGAGCACCAGGCTGGCTCTTAGGCGAGCACTCAGGCAGATGGCCATGTCTTCTGAGGGCTCAAGCCTTTGGAGGGGAAGACAGGTGTGTAATGAACCCCCACAGACAGTCCTAGGAGATCAGTATTCACAATCAAGGATTAATTTTGTGCAGTTTAACGGTGTGCCATCAAATGAAAAAAAAAACCAAGAGAAGGATGAGAATGAATATTGTAATAATTGTAATAACCCCAGTGTGCTGGCTAGTTTTATGAAAACTTGACACAAGATGGAGTCATGGAAGAGGGAACCTCGGTTGAGAAAAGGCCCGCACCAGATTGATAATTGATGTGGGAGGTCCCAGGTCACTGGACAGAGCGCTGCCACTGGGTGTGTGGTCCTGGGATGTATAAAAAAGGAGGCTGATCAAGCCACGAGGAGCAAGCCAGGAAGCAGCACTTCTCCGTGGCCTCCAGGTTCCTGCCCTGATTTCCTGTCCTGACTTCCCTCAGTGATAGAGGCTGACATCAGATTGTAAACTGAAATAACCCTGTATCCCCAAGTTGCTGTTGGTCAAAGTGTTTATCACAGCAATGGAAACCTTAATCGCAACAACCAAGGATGGTGGAGCTGTTTAAATGAAGCAGGCAGTTTGCCCACCACACTGTTGGGAAGGACAGCCCCGGGAGTGTGGGGCAGGACTTGGCAGCTCCAAGCACGGCTGAGTAACCCTTTCCTGGCCCTTACCCCTCCCACTCTCTTGTCTGGAATACTTGTGTCTGTCACATAGCCTGTCTATGTGTCTGTCACATAGCCTGTCCTTAGTCTGATTGATCCATTCCTGAGGACTGTAGAGTGTGTCATGATTGAGGTAGCTTTGGTGGCTTTTGCAGACACTTGGGGCTGGGACTGCTCACTGGTCCTAACTGACCTTACAGTGAGGACTATTACAAACACACCCTCTGGAAGGAGCTGCTCAGAAATGCTCTTAACTTCCAAGTCCTGGATCACATTTTGAAGATTGTAGTTTCCCGGAATGTAAGAACTCAGAGCTCAGTTGGGCAGCTGCTGTGATTGCTTCTAAAGCTTCACTCCGTGGAAGACAGTTGGAATGGAATTGTGAACTGGGGGTGGAGAATGGAGAGTTGGCGCCAAGTGCCCTCTCTCACCTCCCTTCAGTCTTGTGTGTGCTGGATGGTCTCAGAGAAGGCTTTGAGGTTGCTGGCCGCTTTGCCTGTCTGCTCCGATTTTCAGCCCGCTGAGATGACAGCAAGTAGCTCTCACAGCTGTGGAGTTGACTGCTGCCAGACCTCCCCAACGGGGAGGGGTCTGTGAGGCAAGATAATCCTGTTCCTTAGCTGTCCCATCAGCTGCAAAGAGCTGCTGTCTGTGTGAGCGGAGAGTGATCCTTAGCTTCCCAACCAATAACAGCACATCCTCAGCTCATGCATCCTTGGCTCACACACCCTCAGCTCAGCTTGAACATTCTCAGGTCGCACACCCTCGGCTTACGCGTCCCTGTTTCACACGTCCTTGGCTCACACATCACACGACCTCCCTTTGCACATCCTCAGCGTACATCCTCAGCTCACATGCCCTTGGTCGCATACCCTCAGCTCTCACGTCCTCGGCTCTCACATCCTGGGCTCACACATCCTCAGCTCACACTCAGCATCAAAGCACCTGGAAGAGGGTATGGAGGTCAGGAAAGCCCTCTGGCACAGGTGTCTGACTTTATCTGTGTTTATAGAGGATAAGTGGGAACCTCATAGGCCCTCTTCTCCCTTCGCAGCCTCGTGTATGCATCGTACTTGTTAGGCAGGCCCATGCCACAGGAACCTATTTCCTCTACTTAGTACATATGGGGTACTTTTTATGTCATAACAAAAGTGTCACCTTGTTGTTGTTCTGTGTGCGTCCATGTACTTACTGTGTCTGTGTGGGTACATACGTGCCGCACCACGTGCATGAGTGTTGCTAAGAGGACAACTTGCAAAAGGGGTTTCTCTCCTTCCTTCATGTGGGGCCTGGGGCTCAGAGAGCCATCTCACCCTCGCTGGCTTCTCATGGCGGAATGAACCTCGTCGCATATTGTAGTCCAACCACACATCAGCTGAACAGTCCCCTGTGTCAGCCACTAAGATTCAGCTCTGACACATTTGCTTGTAATAATCTTGGCAAATGCTTCCCTTTTCCCCTCACTGAGCGAAAGATGAGAACAATATCGGTTTCCAGAAAGATGAACTCATCTCCCAGAATGACTTTGCGATCCTAAGTTTGTATTTCAGCCAAGCATAAGAACGCATGCCTTGACCTGTCCAGGCTTGACTCCTGCAAAGTCGACTACCAAGGTACTCTGACCTCCATATGTGTACAGAAGCACACGCCGCCTCTGACACACACACACACACACACACACACACACACACATGCATACATACACACGTACACACTCACAGATAAAGAAATGATTGTACAAATAATTTTAAAAACCGATTTTATTTTTTTCAACTTCATTATTACTAGAATACTATCCATTTATTTTTTTTCCTGACCATCTTCAGTGATTTTATTTCACATTTACCACTCGATCTGTTTTGTTCTTTCAATACGATATCAAAACTTGTATTGATATCTTCTCACTGCCACTTGCTGGGAAGCCTAGGAGTGCTGGCTAGTTTTATGCTAACTTGATACAAGCTAGAGTCATTGGAGAGGAGGGAGCCTCAATTGAGAAACTGCTTCCGTAAAAATCAGGCTGCGGACAAGCTTGTAGGGCATTTTTTAAGTTAATGATTGAGGTGGGAAAGCCCAGCCCATGGTGGATGGTGCCATCCCTGAGTTGGTGGTCCTTGGTGCTCTCAGAAAGCAAGCTTAGCAAGCCTTGGGAACTAGCTAGCAAGCATACCCCTCTGTGGCCTATGCATCAGCTCCTGTGGCCTATGCATCAGTATCCTTCCCTGCTTGAATTCCTGCCCAGACCTTCAGTGATGAACAGTGATGATGGAGAGTAAGCCAAACAGATCCTTTCCTCCTCAAGGTGCTTTGGTCATGGTGTCTCATCACAGCAGTAATAACTTTGACTAAGACACTAGGCCACTGATGGGCAGTGATTTTCCTATAGTTATCTTTGGGTAGGTGGATCTGTTTTAGGACTCTTTTCACTGCTTTGTTTTTTTTTTTGGGGGGGGCGGTTATT